ACTCCAGCATCACTCTTGCCCGGTGCAGCATCCTTCCCCACCACAAAGCACCTGATCCTGCCCCTGTGCAGTCCCCGCAGCCCCCCACGCTCCTCGCCTCACCTCTCAGCATCACTCTCGTCGCTGGACCGCAGCTCCTCCAGTGCCACGTGCAGGTCGGCGATGCGCCGGATGGAGGTCCCCAGGTCAGCCTGCAGGGCCTGCCGCACCGCCGCCAGCTCCGCCAGCTGTTGCTCCTGCATGGAAATGGCACCAGATTAGTGCCCGCACCCCGACACAGCACCCCGAACCGTGGCACTGAAACTCCCCCCCACCCCAGCGCTCTCTGCGTGCTGCCAGGGCTTGCTACCTGCCGCTGCACCCTGTTGCCTGTGCAATAGCTTGTAAAATCCAAACTTCATCTTACACGAGATGAGGAGCAAAGGAAGCTGAACGCCTCTATGATCAACCAACACTCCTCATGAGGGAAAAAGGCTCAGAGGAGATGAACCAAAACTCCCAAGCACTGCGTAGAATGTAAGGAGCCATGTGGAAACCAAACTTAACCCCAGGGAGGTGAGGGTGACCTTGGTTTTAGGCACACGGCTGCACCAAGGCATCATCGTGTTGTACAAACAGCCTTCCTGGAGATAATTAGTAGAGAGTAATGTCTTCCTCAGCCTTCCAGGCCAGCGTGGGGGAATCATATATGTAGCTCAGCCCCATATAGAGTATAAAAACGGAACTAGTAATATAAAAAATTTGAGGAGAGCAACAGGCTTGAGCTGTCTTTGACCCACACATCCCTTCCTGGCAGCAGGGAATGCCCAAGACCACGACGGTGAGTGTACAGAGACCAGGGATGGGCATCACATCTGCAGAGTGGCTCGGGTGTATGTTGCAATTGCTGTGTTGTGCCTGTGCTGTGATTTCACTGCACCACTGCATCGCTCTGCTAAATCAAAATTTAACGCCAACAGACCGAAAGAGTAAATCTGATTCTAAACATTAAACGCCCCAAGAACATGTAAAAGCACCTGGTGTGAGAGCACCACGTCCCTGCTGGGGACAGAGCGGGGCACAGACCATGGGGATGCTCCCAGGCATTTCGGGGCTGCTCCTCCACTCACATCTACCACACCACAGTTTGGAAGCAAAGCCTCCTTCAGAAACACCGGAGCTGATAAGAAAAACCAGAAACCCAATTCATAATTTATCCACAGGGACAAAAAAGCTGGATGAGCAGCACAACCTGGATGGCTCCATGGACCCAGCATCACCCACGGCTGGGCAGCCTCCCAGCACACTGAGGATGCCGACCCGGCGCTGCCTGCCATGGCTGAGCACCACCGTCGGATCCCAAGTCCTTCCAGCTAGGAAGGAAATCTCCGGCCGTTTTCTAAACCATCACACGGCAGGGAGAGAAGGAGAGCGGGCGTGAGCTGCAAATTCACCGTGATTGAAGCTGCCAGCTGTAAAATTGCCATCTCAGTGGTGACAAGGTGAGAGATGATTTGCAGCGCGGGCTGCGACAGGCCACGGCGCAGGAGCCGGCAGACTGTCAGGGTAAATAATGAAAGCCCTGGAATCACACACACGCGGGCCCGAGGGGAAGAGCATTTCAGTTCATAAAAACATGCAGAGAAATATCCCAGTTTGGGCTGTGCAGCAGCACGGTTGTTTCTGGAAATGCGCCGATATTGGTAAAAACCTGAACGCTGCCAAGGAGCTGCCTGAAACTCGGCACTTCCGAGCCCTTTGCTTCTCTCCCAGCCCACGCCGGGGTCAGCCCCATGAGTGGCCAGGGAGCTCAAAAGGGGGCACGCAGTGAAACGCTGACCCCTCAGAGAAGAAAAGCCCAAGGGGAGAGAGGCCCCAAGCCTCGTGCATGTGTTCAGCTATTTGCAACTGCGAGAACAGGCAGTAAAACAACCGCTAGATAAAAACCTCAGCCCTTCAAACCGGCTGATAAGAGTCTCTATTGAACTAGTTCCTCAGCTCCAGGATACAGCTCAAATTAAATATAGCTCAGTGGCTGCATTTCATTCCTTTCCTCCGTTCTGCTGTTATTAACCTGACAGTGACTGGCAGGAAGGCAGCCGGGCACACAGCGGTGTGCACCCCTCCTGGCACCCCGCTTCCTCGGCAAAATCCCCCAGGTGCCGTTGTCGAGCAGCAAACAACGTGTGCCAGTGGCTGGTGGGGTCCCCATGGCCCCGTTGCCTTCCACGTGACAGCCGTGTGAGCCCCGAAATTAATGGGACCACCGCAGAGCTGATGCTGCCAAGGCTCCAGCCTGACTCCACTCGGGGATGCCCCGGTCCCTGGGCACCCTCGGTCCCTGGCACCCACGCTGCATGGCATGAAGGAGCCTGGCAGCCTTGGGAGGGGGCTACGCAGGGCACTGGGGGCATTTTGGAGATGCCACAGACATTACATACCGTGGGTAACCTTGGGGTACCCTGCCCGCACGCTGGACGACTGGCAGTTTGAACGCAAGCCTGAAATTACCTGCTTAACAACAAGAGCTGACACTGCTCAAGCACATTGTGCTTGATGTGGCTGAAACAGACTCTTTCTGGCAGAGATACTCCCACCACCACCATTGCCCCAGGTACCTGGGACGGTTAAACGCAGAGGGAAGTGCCAGTCACAGCCAGAGAACAGTCTGGGGCTGCTCCACGCTCCCTCTCTGACAAGTGACGTGCAGGAGCCTATGCCCAAAGTGAATTTTACCTCTCAGAGCTCAGGCATTACTGTAAAGTGAATTCTGGTGATGCAAATCTGCAGCTAGAAGATGTGGGGAAGAGAAACCATAGTGCTCGATTTCCGTGCCCTGCCTTTCAGCGTGGGCTCAGCACACCGGCAGCTCCCAAGGATGCTGCAGCCAGCGAGGAGGATGGCAGAGCTGCGGCCGGGCCAAGGGTAGAGCGAGGGAAAATGCCCAGAGTAAATGTGCTACTCAGCATTTTGGGCTCAGGTTGGTGCAAACCAGAAAGGCTCATGCTTATGGAGTCACGGAGCAGCTGTGTAAATCACCCCTGTGCTCCTAAGGAGAGCGCGGCAGGGGTAGGAGACTGGGACCCCCACGTCTCACCCTTCCCGGTGCTCGATCCCAGATCTCATGCACAGAGGCACTTTATGTTTACTCTACCATGCAATTGTCTCAAGAAAAGGAATAATTATGTCAATATAATTAAAATTCAGGTGCAAAAAAAGCCACCTTCATCATATAACCTGACAAGAACGGTCCCAGCATCAGGCCACTGTTATTCCAGGGATCGATGAGATACCTTTGACACATGTTGTTTCAATCTAAATGTAAATGCAGGATGCATTTCCCTTTTAATACAGCAACTGGTCTGAGCACTTACAGCCTCAGTTGGGATGAACTGCCAAGCAGTGCTGCCCTTTTGTTTCCTCTGAGCAGAAAAGCGGGGGGAAACAGGGAATATATTAATTGGGAAAACTTGTAACCCACCTGCTCTCGTGGCTCTGCTGAAGCACAGAAACTTGGGAGAGAAACGCCAGCCATACCCTCTCCCTATCCCACCGGAGCCCGGGGATGAGCCTGTCCTCCCCTCACCATGGGCAGCCAAGGGGAGAGGCACTGGGTGACAGCGTTGCTGCACCCATCAGCACCTCCAGCCTCGGCAGACCCGCACCTTGCCCGTGCATGATGGGACCTGCTCTCCTCCCTCCCAGCTTCTCTGAATGTTCAGACTTGGTGCCCACAGCCAGAGCCAGCCGGCCCCTGCCCTGCGCCGCAAGAAACCAGGCGTGGTGCCGAACAAGAGGCTGCAGGGGACCAGCGTGATGCGCTGTGGCTGGGCCTGGGGGGATGAATCATAGAACCACAGT